GAACGAAAACCTCTAGACGATATAATTTTAATTTCTGTACATTAGTAACACTGTTTAAATAGTGAGTCTGTTAGTTTGCGAAACCTTTTTGACAGGTATGGAAGAGTGTAAACAAGAAATATCGAAGAATTGTAATTCTTTATAAATATTAATGTAAAAAACATAATGGAGCAAAAATAAAATTATATTAAAATGACGCAAATAAGTGGAAACGTGGAGTGCATGGAGATAAACGAAATAAAAAAATAATTTTTACGAATATGTGAATATAAATGTATTTATAAATTAATAGATTATTATTATATACAATTGTATAATTTTAATGTTTCAGTTTTGATACATTAAAATTATACAATTGTATATAATATCATTATATCATTCATGATATCATTCATGTTTGTGGCATAATTCTTTGCAGTAAAATCATTTTGGCAACATCGTTAAATATGGAATGAAGTCTGTGCAAGATTAAAGACAAGTTTACACAAGTTTACACAAGGAAAATAGCAGAATAAATAAATGGATAATAAACAAATATCAGATAAGTAGTTAAAATTTATATATATATATATATGTATACATATAATAAAAGTATATTATCTACATATTGTCTGACTGTGAATATTGTTGGACCGATTCTTTCCTTTAATTCATTTTCTTGTTTCAGCTTCGCAGCAAACCATGTGCTTGCAGAACGTTTATAGTCAGAGAACAATCTCCTGCAGGATAAAATTGCCAAAGTGTGAGCCTTGATGTACATCATTCATGCATCATAGTTCTTTGCACCAGAATCAATTGTCACATGTGGAATAAAGTCTATACAACATAAAACAAGGAACACAAAGAAGTAAATGGATAATAAAAGAACATATATCAGATAAATAACTTATATTTACACAAAAAAATATTAAGTATCTATGTGAAAAATTGCACATGTCGGGTTGATTGTTGCTTTGTAATGAATTTTGTTATTTTAGCCTCCCAGTTAACCATGTGCTGGTCAAAAACACTTGAAATTATATCTAACATGGAATATAAGAGTATATCTGTTACCAGCAGTGCAGCGACAGATTGATGTAACAAACCAAGAGCAGGTTCGTGAAATATATTTTCCAATGTTTCTTTCATTGATGCCTTCGACAGGCCTTCTCGGTGTTCATTACCCGTTGATTTTGGTTTCTTTCAACAAATAGGATATGTTACCTATATTCGCATATGTCACAATTTTATTATTGTGATTTGAGATTTATTATTGTGATTTCAGAAATGGAGAACGTTTCTCAAACATCGAGGATCAATCCTGTAGCATTACTTTAGCAAGATGAAAAATCATATATTGGAAATTGAAAATGCAACAGCCGTGACAAATCAAGGAGTAACAAATATATAAATATATAAACACTAAGAAATATCAAAAGAAGAATAGGTACTATAAATATGTTTATAAATTTATTTCTCTTTTTCCTATTAATTCGGATAACGAATGTTGCATGAATGATGTACATCAAGGCTCATACTTTGGCAATTTTATCCTGCAGGAGATTGTTCTCTGACTATAAACGTTCTGCAAGCACATGGTTTGCTGCGAAGCTGAAACAAGAAAATGAATTAAAGGAAAGAATCGGTCTAATAATATCCGCAGTCACAGACAATATGTAGATAATTAATCTTTTATTATATGTATACATACCCAGTAAGCAATCTGCGCGCAGACTGACGTCAGACTGTCGACAGGATCTGTCGAATCCGAGCAGGATCTGTCGACAGATCCATAGACATCTGCGTCCCCAATCTGCCGCCAGACTGTTGACAGGGTCTGCGAACAGACTCTGACTACAGATTGCGCGTAGAGTCTGTCGACAGACTCTGACGGCAGATTGGCGGCAGATTGCGCGCAGATCCTGTCGTTTCGTAGGTTCTTCAATTAAATTTTTTCAAATTTTTTATAATTACTCATAGAATAAGCGCTTTCTCATAAATACTCATAAAATACTATGAAAAAAAAAGTTTTTCTATATTATTTTTTGATAATTTTTAAGATTTTCTCTGGTGAGATTCGAACTTGAACTGAAGACATGTTTTGGATAATCGTCCGTCGCCTTAGACACCACGCCAATTCCTCACTTGATAAAAAGCACTTTATATTGATCACTTAAAGTTTAAAGAAGAAAAATCTTATAGTTTGTTTGCCTTTTAAACCGCAAAATATAGACGAACCGTTTAGCGTATAAATAATGTAAGAGAGACCGGCACGATAATTCGAAATTAATTTTCTACCAAGGACTGTATAGAAAATTACTGCAATAAAACAGCAGATAATGACATTTTTCC